TTGTAAACTACGTACCTTTCGTAGTGCTTGCCTTTGTGATTTGTGCATCTATCATCTTTCTCTAACCATGATCCTGTCAACTGGTCTAACCAGCCTTTCTTGCTGTGTGTTAGGGCTAAATTCCAGCCATTAAACAATGCCTGCTTTTTTTTTTTCTTCCCAAGGGCACACAACTTCACTTACGACAACCATGCTCTTTATGAAGGAAGTCTGTGGCTAGTTAGGAATGCTTTTTAAACTATGACGCATCTCTTTCTTTTGGTGAGGGTGTGTAGATCAGCCTCCATCTTCCTCCTGCCCTCACCTCTGACTTTTCAGTAAATGTGTTGTGTGTCTACAGTAAGTATGATAATGCTCCTTCATACCCATCGTCCTGACACAGCTTGAATACAGATCAGCAGTTTCAACTGCCAAATTCTAGGAAAATGGGTACTTGAGTTGACATTAGAAAGAATCTTTGGGTAAAACTATTACAAAACTTTCTTGATTTTTTTTCCCCTACAGTATAAGATGGTGCTTAATACAATACTGAGGATTGTATTTTACTGAGTTTTCCTCATTCGCTAGATCCTTGTTAAGTGTGTGCATGGTGAATGAGTCAGTACTGAGGAGGAACTTTTGTTCTACTTGATCTCTAAAATGCCTGCCGTGTTCTGATTCCTTTGAACTAAAGCATCAATTTGTTCATTTATTTACCTTTTTGGAGGAGGGATTGTTTTTATCTGTTATTTTATCAATTGACTCCTTTCTCATCTTAAAAAGCACAGCAATGAAATGTTGGGATTCAGGAGCCAAATATTCCTAAACAGGAATCAGAATAGGCAGTGCTTTACAAATGTGGAAACAGCAGGGGTGACTTCAGAGATGTTTGAAGGAAGAATTACTTGGGATGTTACATAATATGAGTCAACCCTGGGTGAAAGTTTGTTCCTTTTCCTTTTCAGTTTTCTCTCAGTAATTCAGGGCTGGGATGTACCTAATACTTCTGTATCTCTGACTCTGTCTCTCTCTGTCTCTCTCTCTCTCTCTCAATCTCTCTCTGTCTCTCTGTCTCTGTCTCTCTCTGTCTTTGTCTCTCTGTCTCTGTCTGTCTTTCTGTCTCTCTCTCTCCCCCTTCCCCATCTTCCTTCCATTTGTGCCAGTACTAGGGCTTTAACTCAGGGGCTTATGCTCTGGCTTGTTTTTTTCCTAGCAAGACTTGTGCTTGAGCCACAGCTCCACTTTTGGTTTTTACTAGTTAATTGGAGAGGAGAGTCTCCTGGACTTTTTATGCCTGGGCAGTTTTTGAATCTCTCAGCCTCCTGAGTTGCTAGGATCCCAGGCCTTACTGATTACCTTGTTTTGTTAGCAGATTATTTGATGATTCCTACCATTAAGAGGAAGTGATTGTTAGGTTCCCCTGGGGAAAAATGAACCCTTTCCTCTTTGTTCTCCCTGGGGGCACTCATGGCCCCCTCTAGAAATCACCTCCCAGCACCTGTAACCCAGGTACCTGGCTGGTGCACCTGGGTTAGTGGGAGGTCCCCAGGCTCTGAAGTCACTTCCTCTTCCTTTGAGGTCACTTGGTTTCTGCTAATGAACTCTCTTCCGCCTGAACAACCGTGTGGAGGTATCCTTTCTCCAACTCTTCCAGTGACACCAAGGTTTAGTTAGTGCATGCTTATAAATGGGAAGCTTCTTTCTCAAGACTCACAGGGCTGAAAGTAATGCATTTCAGAACAGTATCACTGAAATCTTAATACGAACTGCAGAAGGATGTGACACCCATGGGTGGCAGGAGAATGATGACATTTGGGACTCACGGGGGAAAGGAAGAACTGGGAAAGTCCACTGCCAAATGTCTCGTCTTGGGAAATGAGCTGCGGGCGGGCACATGCAGCAGGGCGATGGCTTCCAGATGTGCAGTTGGAGGCTCTGATGGAAACGAGATTGAAAAGGCAAGGGAAGAGCCTGAATGTGGCTTAGGATGTGGAGGACAATCAAGTTGCTTGCTTTATAAAGTGGCCAATTTGGCAAAGCTGACTTCTCTCAAACCAGTGTTCTTAGCAGGGGAAGTTCAAAGCTCTTCTTGAAGGGTGCAGAATGACTTCTAGATTGTACTACAGGGCAGTTGTAGGGTTTAGGTGTGTCACCCCGCCTCACTTTGCCACGTATTGCTTTTGTCGCTGTTTCTCAGTAAGATGCTCCTGGTGTGCTGGTGGCTCACACCTGTCATCCTAACTCCTCATGGCTGAGATCTGAAGATTGCCACTTAAGGTCAGTTTGGGTAGGAAAGTTCCTCCAATGAACCATCAAAAAGCCAGAGCTGGAAGTGTGGCTCAAGTGGTAGGGTACTACCCTTGAGAGGAAAAAAGCTCAGGGATATAGCATCCAGGTCCTGAGTTCAAGCCGCAGTACCAGCACAAAAAATAAAAAGAATCCAGGCTTGACATAATGTTTTTGTAAATCAGACTTCATTATGCTACTTTTCTCTGGTTGCATTTCTGTAAGCAGTTGCCGAAGACAAATCTCATCAGCTCAGCAATTTCCTGTCTCCCTCCTGCCATTTAACGTTCCCTTCTGTCCTGCTTGCCTCTCAGTTGTATTTCTCCTTCAACCTCTCATTTTCCTGCATTTTTATGACCTCTGAGTTCAGGTCCACTCTTAGTTTCTTTTCACATTTGTGCCGATGTATTTTCTGAGTATGACTGCATCAGAAGTATTCTATTAACTAACGTGATTGTAATATATTGCCGACTCCCTGTTAGCGATTTCTGAGCCCCTTGATTGAGCTCATATTCCCCTTGAATGGGCACAGGAACGTTGTTGCTCCAACTCCTAAAGTAGAAATTGGATTCATTTCCCCCACATACAGTGGTGCAGTGATAACCCAACTAGAGCGAAGCCGTCTTAGTTCATCAGTCCACCAGGAGGGCAGGCCAGCCAATTCTTTCCCAAGGAATATGTCAGTTATCAGAATCGAAGCCAGGACCATTTCGGAGAGCCAGTTCATTTTATAATTTTATGATGTTCCTCCTGCCTGCCTCCTTTCGAATGGCTTCACTTTTCTATTTCATTTCCCAATCCTGAACATTGGAGTTTAAAGAGCCCCTTTTTTATGGAGTGTATGTTAAAGTGCTCTGTGAAGCAATATATTTATTACCTGCAGTGAAATGGCTTTTCACAGCCAGGCAGCTTTCGTAGCCCCCGTGCTCCCTGTACAGTTAAAGAAGTTTTGCTCCTTGTGTCTTAATGACAGCAAAGAAAGGCAATACGTGTATATGTGTGTGCGCATGTGTGTGCATCTCTGTACTGAGTTTGTGTGTGTGTGTGTGCATGTGTGCATCTCAGTGCTGTACCTGTGTGTGTATGTGTGTGTGTTTGTACATGTGTATATATTTGGTGTACATGTGTGTGTGTCTCTCTGTGGGTGTTAGGGAAAGGGAGTCTTAGAGCCTCTAATGAGCACATTTCCGTTTTTCATTCCCTCAGATGCTCAGTGGCTTCCATATGTGTGCTGCATGCAGCTTTGTTCATCCAGTTTGGTATTGCTAACCTTGGAGTTGCTTTTGATGGAGAACATGTGTAGCCATTGTATCTTTCACTTATGTTTATGCCTGAGATCCAATCTGGAAGAGCTTTGGAACTGAGAGAGAAAGATAGGGAAAAAAAAAAACAGAAAGAATAGTGTGTGTGTGTCTGTAAGGGGGGGAGGGTGTGCGCTGCTGTGTGTGTGCACGCGCACACTGCCATTCTGATGTGTTCCTAACAGAGATGTCAGGCTGTCAAATAGCTGTCTCTAGAAGCCTCTCTGGATTCCGTTTAGTGAAGAGGTCTCCTTTTTTGTGACTGCCATTTGTCCTATCGGTTTCGCAGCCACCACCTGGAGACCCATCAAATATGGTTAAACTGGCCCATTTTCAGTAGCAATTTATTTTCCTTTATTGTTTCCCCCTGAGTTTGAAGATGGTAGTCTTGTCTGTATTGGGGAAGGGCAGAAGGCTGATTAATTTGTTATTAATTTGTTGTTCCTCTGGAGACATTTTTGGATGATTGTTTTCACATATTCCCACAATTAGAGAACAAAAGTGAAGATGAATTCCATCTGGGAAGACCCCTAATCTCTAGTTGCGCCGGGCAGCTTTGTTAGATAAGATTAAGGATTTCATGAATGCTCCCTCTTTCCCCTGGCCGTTACCCAGCTGTGTCAGCCCTTGTCATTCGCAGCACGGCTAGATAACAATTGACTGGAGATGACACCACAGCAGAGGAAAGGCCAGCATTATCAGGCAACCTGGTTTTATACATCTCAAGTACGGCCTTCCTTCCCAGGCCCCAAAACGTGCCCAAGAGGACCGCCTTTATGTCTCCTTCAATGGGAAGAGGAAGAGGCTGGCAGTTCAGCAGGCAAAAGCAAATGTTTCAGTTCTTAGGAAATGGCCACAATTGCCATTATGTCCACAGAGACCAGCCTTGCTTCATTTGTATTCTTCATTATTTGCATGGTTGTCTTTAAACTGAAATTTCTCACTCTAATGAATCACTGCTTTTATTTGTATTCGAAAATCTGTAAATCCTTTCTTCACCTTCCAGCATTCCCTAGGTTGCCTATGGAAGACTTACACGTTCTCTTGGTTGTATTACGTTAAATATCAGTACAATGATACTTAGAACACTGGAAGGCAGGCTGAAAGGCAGACTAATGAGCTTAAGAGGAGGAGTTCTTCAAGACCATCCTACCTTGAAAAAGACCAACCTAGGCAGCCCAGGGTTTCCTTTACCTGCAGCTTTGTATGAGAAATGGCTGTGGGTGCAGGAGTAGTGGCAGGCCTGTGGACATACCAGTCCACCGCATGACAGATGGCCAAATAACTTTTTAAACAAGATGTGCTTGTACTGGAGAAGACAAAAATGTAGAAGACATTTCTACATGATGTTTTTAAGTAAGGTAAATGATGAGCTGATAACCCTCCAGACCTTTTTTAACCCGAAGACAAAATTCCTTCTTGTTTTCCTGACAGCACCGTCATCCATTGCTTTGGTGCAGGCTAAAGAAGTCACAAGATACAGCGTGGCTCTGGCTTGGCTGGAACCAGATCGGCCCAATGGCGTTATCTTAGAATATGAAGTCAAGTATTATGAGAAGGTAATACTCTTCCCTGCCTTTTCCTTCCCTTCCCTCTCTTTGTCCTTTCTCCTTCCTCTCTTCCCTCCTTCCCTCCATCCTTCCCTCTTCCAATCCTTCTTGCCCCCTCCTTCCATCTCTTCCTTCCCTCTTTCTGTCCTTCTTCCTTCTCCCTCCCTTTCTTTCCTCTGTTCCCTCCCTTTCACCCTTCCTCTTTCCTTACCCCCCTTTTCTTTCTTCCCTCCTTCCCTCTTTCCTTCCTTCCTTCCATTTTAGACCAGTTCTAACTCGTGAAATTCCTATGACTATCAGTATGAAATGTATTTTGTTTAATATAACTGTAGTTCTTCTTTCTAGTAATGGAAAGGAAAACAGCTAAGAGGTCCTCATGTATAATTCTTCCATCAGGGAGACTGATTTACAGGAGTGAAGCAATGATGTGTTTGAACACATCACTGCTACGAGTGATGGAATGTGGGTTCTGGTGACTTTTAATAGAAAATTGGGAGTGCAAGATTGCATTCTTCTGCCCCTTAAAGTTATAAGAATGTATTATTTTTACAAATAACTTGTCATTTAAAGGACAGAATTTTAAAGACAGCTATTTACGTCCAAGGCTATCTAGAAAATGAACAATTGCTTCTCCTTTTTAAAGATAATCATTTATTGGATTTTTTTTTATTAAAAGCAGAAAAGGGATTGGACTCTTACTTTTTTTATTGAAATCAGATTACCGTATTTTTGGCATTTCTTTAGACAAAACATACAAAAAAAGACAAGGGACATTAAATTGCTTATTATGGAACTAGAAGAGCACCAGCCATCAGTTAATGTTTTGTTTTTCTTCTTCCCACAAATACTTATCAACAACCATCAGACTTGAATTCTGCATTTCTTTCAACATGTCCAAAGTAGTTCCAACATTAAAGATAATGCAGGCCTTCTAGAGACTCTGTGCAGCTCCATTTACTTTCAATTCCTGAGACTGGCTCAGCTTCAATATTGTGTCTAAAGTCAGCAGGGGACTTAATGCTGCTGCCTTCCCCAATTGTATCTCCCTGTGATGCAGGACCAGAACGAGCGGAGCTATCGTATCGTTCGGACAGCCGCCAGGAACACGGACATCAAAGGTTTAAATCCTCTGACTTCGTACGTTTTCCATGTGCGGGCCAGGACAGCTGCCGGCTACGGTGACTTCAGTGAGCCGCTGGAGGTCACAACCAACACAGGTAACATGGACCACCTAGACCCATTCCAGGTTCTTTCACAGCCCAGAGTGAATCCCACCAAGGTGAAATCGAAGGAGCGTTCTATTCGTTTTGGTTGGCATCCATCTTGTTGCAATGGATGTGGTATGAAATAAGATAGCCAATGTCTGCAACTTGGACAATCTCATGCTATTTAAGGAAAAACCATTTTTCATAGTATATCAGATCTGTCTTTTCATATGAATAAACAATGTTGCCAATTTTACTTTCTCATTTGGAGCCTTCTACAAACCATGAAAAATGGGATTACCAAGCTGACTAATTGAGGGTTATATAGCTACCCTACATTAAGATAAGAACTTTTCTTCCTGAGAATATTAAAGAAGGAGTCAAATAGACCATTCCCCCCCCCACCCCTACTTATTTCTTGGAACTCGTTTAAATCAAATCAGATCAGCTGTGTGTATGTTTTTAAGGCCGCTTTCGATAAACATACCAGATCTCTATACACATGAGTTGGATCCAAGCTGGAGTATAAGATTCCTTACAAGCTAGAATTGGACCTATTTGATAAGATGTTAGGGCAGAATTTTTAATACTCATTATAGAAGATGATTTCACTGATACATTATTAAATATAATGAAAATGAAAGAAAATCAGACAAGAAAGTAAGGTTGAATCAGAAGAAGACTGAAATCCTTGATAGTATAAAGTGATGACATAAAGGAAAAAGCATCAGAGTATCTTTGCCATGTGGAATTTAATGTCTCTGTTTGCCATGCAATGATAGAAAGCAGGTATTTGTCTTACAAAGGTTGTCTTAGACAGTACTGTTGCATGAACATTTATCGATGGTCCACAGAAACTTCCAGCAACCTAATAGGTTCAGAAGGTTGAATGTGGGGACGCAGTTAGAAGTTCTACCTCTCAGAACCTTTACCCCCTTGACCCCTGTGTGGTTGTTTTTCCAGTGCCTTCCCGGATCATTGGAGATGGAGCCAACTCCACCGTTCTTCTCGTCTCTGTCTCCGGCAGTGTGGTGCTCGTGGTCATACTTATTGCTGCTTTTGTCATCAGTAAGAGGTAAGGACTGAAACCACTCTTATATGCGCCTCACCTTCTCGGTTTTATGGGGAAGCCTTTTGTCTTCTCTACACGAAGATGAGGCTTATGATTAGCTTCATAAACATGGCGTTTGCCTGCCAAACTCCTTCCTCGTAGCTTTGATCTTCCCGTGGCCTTCCTGGAGCTGACACTGGCAGTCTACACTGCTGAGAGTCTCAGAGCAGCCCAACCAATGCCAGGAAAACCAAGCCGAAGAAAAAGGCAATGGGAGATGTGTTGATATTTCAAGCTGTAAAGTGTTACATGCATCCCTTTGTTAAGAGGGACTTCACTGTAAGCATCCCTTTGTCCAGAGGGACTTCCCTGACAAAGGCAAAAAAAAATAAAAACATCTTTCACATGGGTTGACAATAATGGTTATGAAAGCAACGCATGCTTTCTCTCTGCCTTCCCTCAGCAATGGTTGTCAGCATTCCCAGAGGCTCACCCCTGCGCATGGGGTGGGTATGGCGTTGCAGAGTTTCTATGCTCTGAGTGCTGACAAAGAAATCCAGAAAGGCCTAACAGCGGCTTTGCCAGCGTATTCCTTGGAAGGCACTTTTTCTGCTGCTTTGCCTCCATTCACTTTTCACACTGCCCTCACCATCCCTTACGAGCCCCACATCTGGGCCTTCATCTTAGGGTTTTGATGGTTAAGCTTCTCATGTCATAGAAGAGGAGGAGGAACATGTGATCATTGTTTAGGATTATTTCATTGCCCTGGTGGTCAGGAGAGCTACTGCTGGTTCCCCTGTAGCCCTGCTTGGCTCTTAGACAGTAACTGTCGCACCGTCCCTCTCTGCCTGCTGCTGATTTCACCAGTGCCACAGTAGCACCTTGGCTATTGTCACTGCGTATGCCAGTGCACAGTAAAAAGAGGGTGGTAACCACGGTGCCTGGATGGTGCCAGTTGTCCCATGCCCTTCTTAAACGTCTAGGCTTCCACCTTCACTCTCCAGAATGGCCTGGTGTAGAGGAGCTGAACGCGTCAGCCTACTCTGGTATAGAGCAGTGCCTCATTCTTTCTGGCCTGTGTATTTGGGAATGAGTTTGCTTGTATTGGTATGACGTCTGTCAGACAAGTTGGAGTGGAGAAGTAAGTGGAATCTCCACGGCGTTATTAAACTTTGGAAGTCAGTCAAGAAGAGTCCTGTGTGTTGTCATTTGAGTTTGCCTCCATGCATGCGCCATGCGTGTAACGTGTGGGAAAAGTGTGTGTATGGGTGGTATTTATCCATCCAGGATCTGGGAAACAGGGATTTGGGAAAGGGGATTGGGCAGACATTTCAGGGGATTAAATTTTAAGAATTCCTGCATTGGAAATTTTTGCAGCATCATTAAATAATGTTTGTGAGGCAGTGAAGACATTTAAAATAAGTGTGTGTCTCAGAAACAATGGGCTGAAATCCAGAATCATGTGGTCCTTAGAGCACTCCTCAGTAGCCAGGAGGGCTTGTCTCGTGTCCTGACCACATTCTTCGTGCTGTTCGGGGACATTCTGGAGTTGTAGTCCAGCTTTCCTTTGGCCACTTGTTTTTTTTTTTCATTTTATCTATCCCTGAATACAGCAAACTGAGGTGTTTAGAGATAAATCTTGTCATCACTATGTGTTTCTTCCATTGACCAAAAGAAAAAGGAAAAAAAAACCGTCAAAATGTAATTCAAAGAGTGAAAATTATTAAAAGTCATAGTGATAGAAATAGCAACCTCATGCTTGATGACTTAATTCCCTTTCTGGTTGTATTGACCACTTTATTATATAAGGTAGGACTGATAGCAGGATGCATTGGTTTTCCAGTTCTGAGTCTCCACCTCCCTGGGAGGATTGAGTCTGTCGAGTTATCCGGCGATGATTCCTGTTCCTTATCCCCCATTAAAAAAAAGCTGTCACTTCCCAAGGCTGATAAACATGGGTTGGTGATTGGTCCTCAATGGATCACTTTTTAGAAAATGAAATGTCAACCCTTTGCCCTCATATTGATTCTTCTTTAGTGCTGGTCATAAAGCTGTCAGGGGAAGGGTTTCCTGGAGCCAGGTAGCTGACAGGTTTGCAGGCGCTGATGCACACTCAGCCAATTCTTCTCCCATGCAGGTTGTCTGTCTGCTCTGTTATCTCCAACTACCAATGTTCAACAGAGATTGGTGCAGGTGAACAGAGAGGAGACAAGTATTGCGGACAAAAGTTAGACCCAGGGCTTTCATAAAAATACAAATCAAAGCAATAAGTGGTACCCTGGAAATCATGTTGCCGGATTTCGGCAGCCAGCAATAGGAGAAAGTGACTGATTAAGACGTCTAAGCCTACCCAATCTAGGCTGTGCCCTTGGCCAGTGGAATTCTGAGAGTCACAGAATATTGATGCCAGAGAGGAGGCTAGCAATGAATCCCTCCTAATGACTGCTTGAAACTTGAACCCTATCTCTGGCAAGGAGTAGATAGAAAGGAGAAATTTTTCAGTGTTTCTAAGGAACACCAGGAGAAAATGTGTCTGTTTGGCGATTTGTTATTTAAAGGAAGGTTCATAGTTGGCATCATGCTGGATTTTGAAATAGCAATTGTTTCATTGATTTTACTATATTCTCTTTACACTGCCAAGTCTGAGCTTAAGGTCAGGTGTGATCATCTACAATGGATACATTTTTGGTGTTTCTCTTGGGGCCAACCTGAATGTGTAAGCATTTGGGCCTCTCAGAGAAAGAATCGCACTACTTGATGTAAAACCTTTATTTACATATTTGACAGAAGATATTACATATTGTGTGTTCATTTAGATGTATGTTTATACTGCTTACATGATGTCAAGTAAATTAATTTACATTTCTATAGGCATCATTGATCAGTGTCTTCATCCCTCAAGCTACATTTCGGGATGGAATCAAGATTGCCGATGGCATAATTGTACCTGTCCTGTAGTTCACAGGCTTGACACTGTGTGATGCCGTCACCAGGAATCTTAACCTGCAAGTCACTATTTCATTAATTATATATTTAGATATTTGTGATCTCTGCAGTGTTGCCACTTGCTTTATTGCATTTCGAAACGATTGCTCTGAAAGGACTGTTAACATTGGGGTTATATGACAATTCAGAAGTCATAACCTCCAGGACTAATGGCTGAAATTTCTGTGTGAAATTTCTCTGACAATTCCCTTTTAGACCAGCAGTTGCATCAGTTCACCTTGAAAAACATCCTAAGGCAGTATGAATTCAGATAGTTTTAGGATAGCCTCTTTTCCCCAATACTATTTTCTTGTTCATACATGAGAACTATAATACAAAAAGAGTGTTCCTGCGGATTTTGCTTTATTATTTACTTTAGGGGGGGAAAACGTTGGTGGCTAAGGAAAAGTATTAACTTGATAATAAAGCATTCATTACTTTTATAATAACTTTCTAATAATTGCTAGCCATACTTTGTTTTTACTTACTCTAGGATTAAGAAGTGAAGGCATAATTTAGACACATCTATCAGGTCTTGGAAACTTGTGGTCCGTGGATGAACAACAAGTCCTAAATACCCAATGCAAAGTCAGAGTTTGTAACTTTTGTGTTCTTATTGGAGGTGAATATTTCTGACTTTGGAGCTAACAGTTCACAGGATGCTAACACGGTTTCTTTTCCTCCTGTGTCTGTCTTCCCCTGTGCCTTAATTTTCTTCTCTGGAATATTATGATCACATAAGAATTGAACACACTTAAATGTGAGCCTAAGTTGGCTCTGATGAAGTCATGTAAATTTGCACAATTAGGGGGCAAATGGCACCTGAGGAACACTATTTACTTGCATGCAATCGTGTGGTTCAATCCTATTTCAAAACTATTTCAAAATGTTGCTCATGAAGAACATTCAGACATCATTCAGCGTGAGAACAAGGACAGCATAGGAAAAGGGAAAATGAAGGCTGGGCCTCAGTGAATCTTCATGGGTGATGGGGTTAGAGCGCTGGCCAGGGGCCCTCTAGAAGTCTAGCTTCTTCTTATGTTGCCAATCTCCTTGAATCTGCACTGTTAGCCAAATAAATTACTTACCTTTTACTAATTGGTTTTGGAATGATGAACTCCATCCACCAAAATCTGTCCACTTGATCATGAAAGTTCCATTTTGATAAAAGCAGGCTCTAGGCCTGTGGTTTGTTTTAACTGAAGAGTCAAGGTGCCAGAAACAACACATTGGGCTGGGAGGGTTCAGGCTGTTCCTAACTATGTTGGTTAATACTCTCATTAGTGGGGCCCTGGGATGACAGAGGGGAGGGCCAGGCCCTTTGCCAGAACCCCTGCTGTGAAAAGGCTTCCTGTTCCCTACTGACCATTCACTCTACTTACAGCTCTTCTCCTGCCCCTCTGGGTCAGCCTGTCTACAACTCTGTAATTAAGAAAAAATCTTCCACAAAGCTTTGCTTCCGCCATTCAGGTGATCTGCCTCAGATGTCGGCTCTTCTTTGGGCTCTTGGGTTGCTCCAGGCAGGCTGTCCTAAGAGTAAGAGCCTTTCCTGGGACAATAATGAGCCACATTGTCCTCCTTTGAGCCAAGGGGAAAGGAAAGGGTCATCAGGTGACAAAAGTCAAGAACGTGGACATTTTTGTTTCCAAGGTATTATTAGAGAGCTAATGGGGCTGCAATTAGCCTTCGAACAATAATCCTGGTGTTTCGTTTGTTGGCATTCTGTGTGCCCAGGTAGGGTCCTCTCCCCCAAATAACACTCTGAGTAAGGAAGTGCCTGTAAAATAGACACCTTCATCACTCTTCCAATGCCTCTTTCTATGCTGAGAAGTCTGAGGAAAGCATGAGAAAATCAGTCTTATAATTAATGACTCCTGGCATTTGTATTTCCTCTGGCTTTGTTACCTTTAATGAATGTTTTTGATGTAAAACCAAAAGCCATGTTCCTGGACAGCTTGAGGCTGAAGGTTTCTACGTGCATGCCAGGGGGTTGGGAATGTGGTTCAATGATTAGGCACTAAGCACGCACAAGACCCTCCTGGTCTGCAATGTTAAAGATCTAAAATGGTTTAACAGATTGCAGGGCTTTGGGCAGCACTGATAAATCGCAATCCCTCAACTAGCAGACTCTGTTGTGCCTTGATTGGTGTAGTCTAGTCTCATATTATTTTCTTATGAGAGGCAAAGAAAGGATGGGTAGAGAAGACATCGGAGGGACAATCTTTCATAGAATGTTGTTTGATTTATGAAGCAATAGATTTTAAGGGCAGATGTGCTGGGTGTAGGGAGCGCACACCTGGAATCAATCCTCTGTACCGAAGATCTCGATTTGAATCTAGCTCAGGCAGAAAACATGAGACTCTTATTACAATTAGAGAAAACCTGCAAGAAGAGTAGCTGAAGTGGCAAAGCACCAGTCCTGAGGGAAACAGCTAAGTGAGGGCCATGAGGCCCTGAGTTCAAGGCCCGAGCCGGCCACTGGTGGCTCACGCCTGAAATCCTAGCTACTCAGGAGGCTGAGATCTGAGGATTGCGGTTCCAAGCCAGCCTGAGCAGGAAAGTCTGTGAGACTCCTATCTCCAATAAACCACCAGCAAACTGGAAGTAGCACAGTGGCTCAAGTGGTAAAGTGCTTGCCTTGAGCTGAAGAGCTCAGGGACAGCACCTTGGCCCGGAGTTCAAGCCCCATGACCAACAACAACAACAAAAAAAGTTGAATCCAATTTAAGTAAATTTACTGATAAATTTACTATTACTTCTCACCAGTTACCTTGTAATTGCTCCTCTAGGAGAGAACCTGTGAATTACAGACTGGATCATGGTAGCTATGTAGTTCTTGTAACTCAGTGTGTATGTTGGGGGGATGGGGGGGCTGCGTGTCCTCTCATCTGTACAATGGGGTGAATGTGTGGCTCCCCACCTGATTCCTTTCACGAGGTTGTTGTGAAGATGCAATGAAATAATAGCCCTGTTTGAAGGCCCTTTAAAAAGTTAAATACAAAGGAAAACACAGGCTGTTATTTGGTACCAAAATATGCACGCTTCAGATACCCGTGGTAACTGGGGTCTCGGTTTTGCAAAGCTGGTTCCTACTTTGCAAACAGTTAGGGGAGGAGATAACGTACGTGATGAGAGCACTTTGAAAAGTTAAATGCCATGTAAAAGTGCAAAGTATTTATTATTTGCAAGGGACTTAACCACGTGGAGGAACATCTGTAGGCTCCCAGGGCCTGATTGCTGAGCTGGTTCTTGCAATGGTTGACAACTGGGAGAGGATGTGGGAGGGAAGCCCTGGGCATGCGCTCTGCGATGGGCAGCACCTCACCAAGCTTTGGCTGGCTTCTTTAGGTTCTCTGCTGCGTTCTCCTTTGCCTGGTCATTCTGCCTTTCCACCCTTATGCAAAGTTCAGGAGTTGAGGGATCAGATTCTGACAAGACCTCAGGCTCTGTGGCCAAGAGGAGTCTTTCCTTAGCTTGTAGCTTTCATTCCTTCATCTGAGAGTCTTAACTTTTCCTTAAAACTCAGGCAACACCAAGTGATTATAAATTTCAATGTTAATTTTACATACCGATAGCGTCACAGAAACTGCACTTTTTGTTCACTGACTTAGCTTCAGCCTCCTAAACTCTAGAGCTGTGATACCAACTGAGCTGATTTACCAATTGCTTTTTAGCATATACATTGTCCTGAGTCAATATGTAAGGTCTAGGGTATGGGTGCTGACCCACAGAGCCTTTGCCTAACACATGCAGAACCTTGGGCTCACCTCCAGCATCACATACATTAAAAAGAATGTGTGTGTGCGCATGCGTGCATGTGTATGTGTATAGATTTAATATATTTGATTCTTATCTTCAGCTATTTTCTGCTTTGTATAAATGATGCTTATATTTCTCACTTGAGATTTATATCTTCTGCAGATTTATAATTCCCCTGACTTTGTAATAAAACCAAATTCAAAACCAAATCTCACTGGGCAGTGGAAGCAGAATATAAACTTTAAAATCCATGAGCCATTTTTACTGGAAGAATATTTAGTCAAAACTAGTTTTCTATAAAATCTTATTTGATTTAGTACCCAGCAAATATTTGCTCCCTAAATGTTCTCGAGTAATTGAAAGATTTATATGTCGTAAGAGAAACGAACAGCTACATTGTTTTAAAAGTATAATATGATAGTGATCCTGTGTGGTAGTGACTATGGTATTTATAGCAATGGGGCTCACTATGAATTGCTATGACATACTGAATATTATTGCCATTGGGTTTAGGCAGAATTATTCGTGACAACTCATTTTAATTAAAAATATAAATGTGTTTATATAATGGCTAGTAAACTTGTCTTCAATAGCATAAGTTCTCTCTGGCGATTGAAATTATATTTATAAAGTATTTAAAATATATAGTTAAGAGCAGAGACTCTGGACTCTTGGCATTAGATTTGAAACCCTGACTTGTCAGCCCTCTGACACATTCCTTGTGGACCTCAGTTTTCTTATCTGTAAAATATATATTGAATATTTGCTTGACTTGAATTATGCTAATAAAGAACTTGTCTTATGGCTTTTGTCATCGCTTTTGTGTTAGAGGAAAATTATTTTTGTTTCTCATTTTTTTAATAGGCGGAGTAAATATAGTAAAGCCAAGCAAGAAGCAGACGAAGAAAAACATTTAAATCAAGGTACCAGAAGAAAATGTTTTGAGGGAGGTGGGTCATGGGGCTTGAACTCAGGGCCTGGGTTCTATCCAAGCTTTTTTGCTCAAGGCTAGTGCTCTACAACTTTGAGCCACAGCATCACTTACAGTTTTCTGGTGGTTAATTGGAAATAAGAGTTTTATGGACTTTCTTGCCTGAGCTGGCTTCAAACTGTGATCCTGAGATCTCAGCCTCATGAGCAGCTAGGATTAAGGCATGAACCATCAACACTCAATGAAAAATATTTTTATTTCTAGAGCATATTTCATATTTTCTAGTTTAGAAGGGCCTAAAATGAATATGGCTGCTAATGTTTGGATAATGTATTCCTTGTCCAAACAATATATTTCTAGGGCATCAATCTGCAACAAATGATTTGAGATTATTTAAAGTAAGGTTAAAGATGAGGGGTAGAAAAGTTCCTATGGATTTTTCATTTTCATTATTTTATCCTCACTCTGGTATATCCCAGTAGCTTAATGGGTAGTTATCTTAAAGACTTCATGGGTAATTTTTCTGATCTAAGCTAAAAATTGGGGTTGGGGTGGTAGAAGAAAAAGAAACAAGATAGTAATCCTTACTCTCCACTGAACAGCATTATGTGATGTAGAGTTAAGTGACTACAGTATCTTTTGTGGTTGTTTGTTTGTTTGATGGATTGTGGGGTATATTGATGTTCCAGATGGGCTCAAGGAATTAATTCAAAGAAGTGGCTCCAGAATGATTTAAGTCAGTGAAGGAACACTGGAGCATTGGGCACACCTTGCCTGTACTGTCTCATACCTCAGCCAATGTCATGTGTGCTGTTAGGGACGTAGCTCATGCAAACAGAAAGTAAACTTGAACTTTGACAGGCTGACATCTAACATATGAACTAAGATGTGCATCACATTAGCATAGGAGGTAGAGGAAAGAGAACCATTAGGAGAAGCTTCTATGTGCTGCGAAGTTTAACAACGTTCTATGTAGTCTTTCTTGTTTTCATTCTATAAAACTTTACTTTTTTATTGTTGTTACTTTTCACAAGGAATGTATGTTTGTAGACAGAAATGATACATTAAAAGGAAATGATAGTAAGAAAAGGCCAACTTAAGTAGATAGTTAAGTAGATTGTTGTTAAAAATGAAAGCAGAGACAAGGAAAAAGAGGGGCAGGCTGAGAAAACCAAAGAGATTAGGCCAACTGCTCTTCTATGTATTCAGGGCCATGGCTCATGTTCTGAAATTGGTTTGTGATGGTGAAGTACAGCCGGACTACCCTTCCATTCACAAGTAGTCTGTAACAATTGTCTCCATCTGAACTCACTTCACAGTTAGAATTGTGTACATACTCTTCCCAAAATGGGTTGAAAACAAAGGCCCAGTGAAGAGTAAGTATATCTCAAATCAACCAGCTGATATCTCTCTTGTGTATATGACCCTAACCTAAATTGAATTTAAACTTGTTAGATTTTTTTTTCTTTTTATTTTGCTGGATATGGGGTTTGAATTCAGGGCCTGGATGCTGCCCCTGAGCTCTTTTGCTCAAGGCTAGTACTCTACCACTTCAGCCACAGTGCCACTTCTGGCTTTTTCTTAGTAGCTTATTGTAGATAAGAGTCTCACTGGACTTTTCCTGCCCAGCCTGGCTTTGAACCACAATCCTCATATCTCAGCCTCAGGAGTAGCTAGGATTATAGGCATGAGCCACCAGTGCCCTGCAAACTTGTTAATTATTAGATATATTTAGTTGGTCCAGATATTGGTCAAAACCTGATACTCTGTAGACAGGGACAGTGGAAAAAGAGAGTTCTAATAATGTTTGATAAGAGAAAAGCAGAGGGAGAACTTAAGAGCCTGGGCCAAGTAGCTATGAGTAACTGATAAGGACAACCATGTTGGGCTATCTCATTCCAAATTTCCAAAAAGATTCACTTTTTGTCTGTGGAATAGGTTGTTTTAAAACTCTTGTCCTTGAAGTATGAACACATTCCAGGAAATCAGTAGAGCTAGAGACTCTTAAACAGCTAACAATTCTTTGTTTACTCACTAATGAAAACCAGAGCAAGATTTTAAGCGTTTTCATTTCCCAAAGACCAGACAGCTAACTCAACTTTTTCTATGTTAAGGATTTATGTTTAGTGGTGGTTCCTGATAAGTGTTCTGTCCACCTATCCCATCTTCATTATTTAGGCGTTAGAACATACGTGGATCCTTTTACATACGAAGATCCTAACCAGGCAGTAAGAGAATTTGCCAAAGAAATTGATGCCTCCTGTATAAAGATCGAAAAAGTCATAGGAGTTGGTAAGTGCCTGAGCCTCTGTCGAATAAGTCTGCTTTTCTGATGGATATTATGTATTTAAGTTATAGAAATGTACATATGTGAAAATATATTTTGTATTTAGATATGAAAATACTGTATGATGTAATTTCCATATTCAAAGCATAAAATGTGCTATGCTATGAAGTACTCCAGCTCAAAATTTGATTATTTATTTATTTATTTTGGTCAGTCATGGGGCCTGAAATCTGGGCCTAGGCGCTGTCCCTCAGCTCTTCAGCTCAAAGCTAGCACTCTACCCCTTGAGTCACAGCACCACTTCCAGTTTTTTCTGCTTATGTGGTGCTAAGGAATCCAACCCCTGGCCTCACGTATACAAGGCAAGCACTCTACCACTGAGCCACCTTCCCAGCCCAAATTTTGATTTTTGAATGGAATGAATAGGCGTGTGTGAAAACTGAAGTCAGACTAAATTAAATGTTCATTTTACTTTTAACCATAACTCTTAAGAGTTTCAGCAAGTTTTGGGGGTTTTTTGTTTGTTTGTTTTTGTCCCTCCCCCTCCTACAAAGTATACTCTGATAAAATGGAGCTAATTGTGTGTGTTTCCGTGTCTGGGGGAGAATTACATGAAATGGTCTAGGTAAGGTTCTGTAATCAAGTACAGAATGAATGTTAGCGATTTCTTTTCTTCCGGCCCATGTCAGATTCTCCTTTTCCACTTTCAAAGGTGAATTTGGTGAAGTCTGTAGCGGGCGTCTCAAAGTACCCGGCAAGAGAGAGATCTGTGTAGCTATCAAGACTCTGAAAGCCGGTTATACAGACAAGCAGAGGAGAGACTTCCTGAGTGAAGCCAGTATCATGGGACAGTTTGACCACCCAAACATTATCCACTTGGAAGGTGTTGTCACCAAATGTAAGTATTCAAGTCACTCCCTTTTCAAAGCCAAGTTCGGCATTACTGGGAAATTAAACACACATTTTCTTTCCAGGGAAATGACAGATGGCACAGACCCACTGATTGCTAATAGGAGGAAATCAGCCCAGGACAAGTCATTAATCTTGCAGTCAACTCTAAATGGGTCTATGGTTTCAGCTGATATCCTTCCCTCCAAGGCAGCTTGTGTGAAATTTTAGGAAAAATTAAATCTTGCCAATTTTTGATATGCCATACTATCTTTCAAAATCTTTGCTAGGCCAAATGGATTGTCACAGAGTAGGCGCAAGCAGATGGGAAGCAAAATAAAAGTTAAATACATTTCCGTAAGATGCACACCAAAAAGCCCCACCACACCTTGTGCTGGAAGTGTTGGCTCCAGGTGCAGGGAACGAATCTGGGGAATCTTTATTGTCTTGGGAGATTTGCTTGTCTGCTCTGCCTGATGGATGGCTGTTCCATACCTATTTACAGTAACACCTGGTTGAACCTTCCTTTCTTCGTCCATTAGCATTCTCTAAGGCTATGAACCATGCTTCAGTTAAAACACGGCACAGCTCAACAAATGCACTTGCAAAGCAAACCCTGAGCACATCTTCAAGGCTGGCTAAGACCGGCTTAGAAAGTGCCCCTTAGATAGGACAGCTGAAGCGGTCACTATTTAGGGTGGCTGTGTTCCAAGAGCCCTAATATCTACTGCTTCCAGCTAGGATCTTGTAAGCCTGGGGCTATGTTAGCAGGAAGGCCAGACTTTTTTTTTTTTTTTTTTGATTAAAGGTGTCAGTGAAAATGTGCTCACAGGTGAGACAATGGCTGTTTCAGTAGTTAAAGCCCCGGCTGAGGTGGAGAGGGTTTAAAAGGAAAAGTGAGATATAAACTGTTGGTTAAATATTAGTAGGATGCAGTCCTGAAGATCTGTAGGAATAGAAATGGGAGGTTACTAAAAAGCGAAAATAGTCTCCTCCAATTTACATAGACTTAAGAAGTTTCTTAACCTTCTGGAGAAGTTCAATTCAGCAGTTGAGGTGGGGTCCCTCAGTTTGCATTTCTAAAGAGCTCAGGACTGAGGAAGCCCTCTCTCTGGAGAAGCATTAGCCTAGGGGCAAAGCAGTTCACCTTGGTTGGTGGCTCAATTTTTCTGTTTCTGATTCTTTTTTTTGTTTAAAAAAAAAGAAAAAGAAAGAAATGGTGCTAAACCAGGAACTTGCCTTACAAAGTTATTTGGAAGGGAGATGAGTGTGGTAAAATAAAATATTTGGAGTAGGGTGCCTAACAGTAGATTTTAAAATGCACACACACCTTACCTAGTGTTATTACATCTTAAAAGGTCTACCTTTCCTCATCTTGAGAATCCTTCAAAACTGGAAACTTGGTGCCAAGGATATATACTTTTCTGCCTAAGGTGAAGGCTATAATTAGCATAGAGTAGCTCTATTTGCTTTTTAAGATTAGTTTTACGGACAGGATATTTTTCTGTTGCCCATGGCCTTCAGAGCTACCTAGAGCCCCTGACTACTTTAATTAAAAGACAACATTCCCTTTAAATACTTGTGCAGGTCCATTTTCTTAATTTTTTTTTTTAAAAAAAGAGGCTGTGTTCCACTCAGGGTGTTTTTCCTGCTGCAGATAGTGATTTTCATGGTACTTCTACAGAAAAGACAAGAAAAAGGGAATCTTTGTGTTAAAGTCCCACCGTGCCTCTAAAACCCGTAGCTATTACAGCTGTAACTGTTATAAATGACTGGATACATTTGCATAATGCAGTTGTCACTGAATTAAAATGATTTAAAATTTCCACCACAGGAGCTTGTCTGTGTTCTCTGCCCTCTTCTCCCGGTACCCCCATACTCTGCACCCGGGGCTGGGGGTGGGGGTGCTGGGAGGGGGCCTCCATTCCTGAGCCCAGCCTTAGAAGACCTAATGTGGGTGTGGCCTTTCCTCTTTATTCCTCTTGTAGAGCTTGTAAAGTTTTGGACAAATGGGTATGTTTTAGTAAACAGAAAAGGAAATGTAGAGAAATTATGTAGATGGTGCCAAGAGTCGGGGTAGGGAGGTGTGAAGGTGAAAGGCTGGAGTGGAAGAGTGTGAATTCTTTACCAGCACTTTCCTGAGTTACTTTCTAAATTGACAAGTGGATCCTAAATTTTCTCTACTCTTCTTCCCTCTCTTCGGGGTTTTCTCTTTCCCCAAAGCTCCAGAGGCACTAGTAAAATGAAAATAGTTGTTAATGCAAAGACATGAGAGTACCTGTCCTTCATTACATGACAAAGTATCTTTTGACTGAGGCAGATTAATTAAAACTCACTTAGACATATTTGTTCTGTGCTAAGACTGGTAGCCAGTAAGTGAGTCTGAAAATACAGACCTTCCCATTTAGGTAGAAGAAGGATCAAAAGACACCACAATTGGTATCTTCAGAAGATAGGAAGAGATTTGATTCATCCTTTAGTCTTTACCGCCATAACTACGGTTTTTTTCAGATGTCTTTCCTTGCTTGAAATTTCAATCTCCCTGGAACAGTCTTCTAATACAAAAATGGTTGCCTTTAAAAGATTTCCTAGACAGGACACACACACACACACACACGCACACACACCACACTCAAGGACTTGGACATCATTGATACCAAAAACTTGTCAAAACCTTTAGCTCAAAAGTGAAGGTATATCTTGCCTTCTCCCCACTCCAAAATAATTAGGAAAATTCCCAGTCAATTGTACAGCAAGAAAAGTGGGAATATTTTTAATGTATCAAATAGGCATTAATTTACCCTCAAAGGAATTTTTAATGGATTTTTTTTTAATTCTTCCTTCTCTTAGTTCAAAACTGGAGGATTACCATAGTTTATCTCCACCCTCCTCCAATCCCTTCTTTCTAGAAAGCCCTCAGGAAGAAGGAATTTCAGACCTTGAGTTCATTGTCAGTGAAAATGAATAACAACTAAACATGTTATTTTCTAAACCCCTTAGAAGGAGAACTAAACTGAAATAAGACTTTCTTCCCCCACTGCCCATAAAACACATTTTTATTCTTTGCCAGGAGGGAGGGAAAGGAGCAAGACCATTCCAGTTGTGAATTCAAATATCTGTTTTAGATGAAATGACTTTACTAAATGCCTTCTGTGATGGTTTGGGAGATTTGTTTGCTTTTTAAAGGGAGCAAGGGAAGAAGTTAATTTATAGATAAGGAAAGGGTACAACCCCGGCCAGAGCAAGACAAAGACAAAGCCTCACCTTTTGCCTGCTTGGATTTAAAGAGTGGCTGACTGTGTAAGAAAAGATCTACCTCTGCCATAGAGACTGCCCCTCTGAAATCTGGGTTTCCAGAAATAAAGAAAATGGTTTCTGGGCCCATGAACATCCTTAGCATCCCACAAGTGGCTCTTCCAGGGACAAAATAAATTAATTACCCCATAGTTGCTTTTTTTTCTTCTTCTTCTTCTTCACATTTAATCAGGTCTGCCCATTCATAGTTTTCCCTTTTTGCTCACTAGAGCAATTATCCATTCACATGCTCCCTGGATACCAGAGGCCACTTCAGTGAAAGACCTTGTCAACAAAGCCACCCAAAGGGTTAACTTTCCAGATGGAATCTAAACCTACTCATCCTTTTAATATTTCATCCCTAGCTTCCCACAGCTGAGGCATAAGCTTGGCTTGTTTTAATTAAATTAGATCGCACAAGACAGGTGTCTTGGCAGTAAAATTGTGCACAGCCCATTTTTATCTCATTAACTGCCACTCTCATCAAGGGTTTTTGTTTTTCTTTCTGAAAACTCTAGGTAAACCAGTAATGATCATCACAGAGTACATGGAGAATGGTTCCTTGGATGCTTTCCTCAGGGTATGTGTCAACTTTATATTAAGCCTCCAAGTAAATATTAGAGAAAAGAATATGAGAAAAGAATGATTCCTTATATTCATCCTGTTGGAATGGATTCATGTACTTTTAAACTAGAGCAGCAGAAGAAGGAGAGATATAGAGAATGATATGAATTTTTTTCTTTATAGGCTATTAAATAATCCATAGATGAGGAAGGTAGTATTTGATTTATTCTAGTATCGTGGAATTGTTTGAGCCTGTAGATTCATTACAGTTGGACAATTTCCATCTATCACAGGAAAGCAAACCCAGCTCCTTGAATACTTTTTACTAGAGAGTCAGTAACTTTGGTTCAGCAAGGCCCAGAAATCATGTTGAAGTTTCATTGCATACCGGATGCAGTTATCAAAAATCGATCATGGTAATAAATGCTTAGTGATAATGAATGTGGCCGAATGCTGATGGTATTACTCCCCGCTTCCTTCCTATGCAGAAGAATGATGGCAGATTTACAGTCATCCAGCTGGTGGGCATGCTTCGTGGCATTGGGTCAGGGATGAAGTATTTATCTGACATGAGTTATGTACACCGAGATTTGGCTGCTCGCAACATCCTGGTAAACAGCAATTTGGTCTGCAAAGTATCTGATTTTGGTATGTCCCGAGTGCTGGAGGATGACCCGGAAGCAGCTTATACCACTAGGGTGAGGATGATTTTTCTATCTCTGGTTTGTTCTGTGATAAGACAGCATCTCTCCTTTCACCTTGAAGGCTAAGCCCTTCCTGATTTTTTTAATTCATATTTTAATATTCATAAACCCTTTTAAAAGTTATCTTCGGTAGCTGTAGAAAAGAGTTTCAACATGTCAGCATATGAGTACAGTGCTCAACAGAAGAGGGACTCTTTCTACAGAGCTACAAACTAAACAAAATGGATTCTTTCCTTCTTATGTCTCTTGGCTAACATGATCATGAGTAAGCTAAGCGAGCTGAGTTTCACTACTGATGGCTCAGGCCTGTAAGCCAGCTACTCAGGAGGCTTGAAGCTAGGCTGGGCAGACAAATCCTAGCAAAAAGGAGACAGGAGCTGTGGCCCAAGTAGCAGAGCCCCACCCTTGAGCTAAAAAGTTGAGTAAGAGTAAGAGGCTCTGAGTTCAAGACCCAGTCCTGACACCACCCCCCTCCAGAGAAACAAAAATAAGCTAGCTGAGAAATACTTATCAAGAATAATTTACTCACCAGATGATAAATTATTAAGAAAACCATGAGGTAGTGTCATTTACTGTGCATATGTTTTTTTTTTGTATTGAAACTTGTATTTTTTGCTAGCTTGTTTAATTTCTCTTTCTTCCTTCTTTACTACTCCAGAGATTTTCTGATTGACTCTTTTTGGTTCATTAGGAAAAAGAAAAGTCCTTAATCTAAATACGTAAAGACAATACTTCTAGTTGGTTGGCTACAATAATGTATATACAGGATTTATAAAACATTTATGCTATGCAAGGCTTTCTAGTGAATCTGATGACCTTCATTTTACTACTGATAGACAGCCTGGATTCGGGTATAGTTTAAGAGTATTCAGTATAGAGTTAATGAGTAGGGTATGTTAGCCTGACAGTCTGAATGTAAAATACTAATGGAATAAACACAGAATCATTAAATTGTTATTGGCTATTAAAGCTGAGACTGTTCCTAATCAACATGAAGTGGACAGTTAACATCCTTTTTTTTTTCTTTTTAACACTCATTTTTGTATATGCAATCCTAAACACTGGGTTTTATGTTTGGTTGGTTATGGGGGTGATTTGTTTAATTTCTCCAGCTGTAATGTTGACTGATATATAAATATCCTCTATGGAACTTCAAGTCCATTCATTTATGCCTTCAGTGTGAATATGGGGATCTTTAGGTTTTTTTTCTCAGTTGTTGGAGAAAAAAAGTTATTGAGACTTCCAGGATGACATATTTGCAGAGAGGGAGAAACCATTAGTTATATTAAGGCAGGCAGTATCCCAAGTGTCGTTCTGTAAGCAAGGAATATTATGAACACAGTACAATGGGTTTTCAGAGTGAACTGTGGTATATCAAAGAAATTCACAGGGCAATTTGATTGCCCCGTTTATTAGCCCTAATCAATTCAAGAAAACTTAAATAATGGCTGCTTGAATCGCTCATGGGTTTAAATTCAAGTAGCGTTGATTTCCCAAGATGGAACCCTAGGTAATTTGAAACTCAATTAAAAATACTTTGTGTGTAAGGATAATCAAGTAATAGACATTTGAGGATTTAAAGGGAAAGATTTTAGTTTTTCTGAGTGATATTTTGTCATTTCATATTTACAAGTAGTAATTTAAAAATACATTAAATAGTAATTGAAGGTCTGTCTTACGCTATTAAGTTCACTAATTAGATCTACTATGTGATATCATTTGGCTTTCTCTGAAAGCCATTTTAGCATATTTTGCAGAAACAGAACCAAAATTGCTATATTTAGCAAGTTATCTTCTAGGTATATTGAGTACATACGAATCTATACTATATGAAAGAAGGATAGAGATTTGGAGAAAAAGACAGGAGAGCCTTCCTTTCTTGCTTATTAGCTTTTTTGCTCAAGGCTGGCACTCTTAACACTTGAGCCACAGCCTTACTTCTGCTATTTTGCCGGGTAATTGGAGATAAGAGTCTCTTGGATTTGTCTGCCCTAACTCAACCTCCTGAGGAGCTAGGAGTATAGGCATGAGCAGTAATGCTTGGCAATTTCTAGAGCAGTATTAAGCTGCTTTATGAGACAATGCAATAAGAAGTCAAAACAAATGTCAGCTACCTATCCTTTGATAATCATCGAATAACAGATATATTTTATGAAGCCTCAGCTTACCTGTGTTTTATAATATTGCCCTAAGCAGAGCTTAGATACCAGGTAGGCTGTTAAGAAATAATTAGACAGATTACTTACCCACTTCCCAGTAACTAAGTAAACATGAGAACAGTCTCAACCAGAAAGACTTTAGTTAAAATAAACAAGTCTCATAGTTTTGTTTTTAAGAGCCATCTCGGCTGTGCTGCTGTCTTGCTTGGCGTTCAGAAATAAAAATGGCAAATCAGTGAGGTTACTTAGGGTGTAACTTATGGCTCAAATGTTCACAGGGTGGCAAGATTCCTATCCGGTGGACTGCGCCAGAAGCAATTGCCTATCGTAAATTCACATCAGCAAGTGATGTATGGAGCTACGGAATCGTTATGTGGGAAGTGATGTCATACGGAGAGAGACCCTACTGGGATATGTCCAATCAAGATGTAAGTCTCCGAGTTCTGAAATATGTGTCTTCTTCACATTGAGATTGAGGATGTTCTGCATTATCATACAAAGAAGTGAGCCCTGAGGATGGAATGATACCATGTTTGTAATGCTACATCTAGTCCTTTCGCTCCAACCTTATGACCAATGATGAGTTTGTATTTCAAGATCAGAACTCAAATGCCATAGTATGGAAGAAAGCAAGATGACTCCATAGATGTATTGCTCAACAATATATAGTAGAATTTTTATTTGGTGAACTTCCAAAACTATACTAGCTCAAAATTAAACTGAATTTTAAGAGAATACAAAGGTTATGAAAAACAAATTTCACATGTGATAAAACTGACTTGAAAGAATCATAGCGGGAGGTGAGGGGAACTAGTGAATATTTTAAAACTGGAATAGTTGTAATTAGAGCTTGCCCCATGAGGACTCTAAAATAAAGCTTCACTAAATGACCCTTTGTAAATTATGCACGTCCCTTTAAATATACCATCTGGACTAGTTCGTAAGGGAGTTTCTCTGATGCCTGCAATTCAGAAAAGCATTCAATAATGACACTAATAAGATTCCAGACTAATAGAATTTAATTACAAACATCTCCAGTGAGGAGGAACGAAAAAACAAAACAAAGATCAGGGGTCTTCTTAGAACACATTTTAGCTAATCTTGAAAAACTTTTAGATTGTTTTAGAAGGATTGGAAATCTGATCAAAATAAAATGGCTCCCTATACTTTTAGAACGTTACTAATTTTTTTTAATGTGGGAGGTAGAACACTACCAGGGAATATTTTAAAATGCAAGGAATTCAGTTAATGGACTAGAACGATATTATAGAAAAATCTTCTTTTTAAAACTTTCCAATGTGAAATGTTGCCTGACCATCTGCGTTGTCCTAATGAAACAACAGGAAGTTGCGAAGCCTGGACAATTAAACAAAGAACCAGGTGCACTTAAATAGAAAGCAGGTTTCCCATCAGTTAAAGAATGCAGAGCAATAGAGAAATGAATGCGCTCTGGTTCTAGTCAGGGGAGAAAAAAAAAGTATTGTCTACTGTGACTAACCAGATTAAAGGGATTATTGACATTGTATTGTCAGTAATTAATAAGAGGAGACTCATAGAGGATGGCAGGAAAGATAACAGTTAAAAGAAGCATAGATAATTACAAGCTGGAAACAGACTATGCAGGTGAGTGGTATGTAATGCGTTGTCGGATAAAGTCGTTCAAGCAGATTCCTTCAGAAAGCGTCTTTGCAACATTTGGATTTATATTAGTGACTTTCAGAGGGACAATGACAACCAAAATGAGCAAGTAGTGCATACATTTGCCTATTTAATTGTTTAGTACTTAGGCTTTCTTTGTTCCAGTCCATAGTTATAGCCCAATGTTCACAAGAGCAGATGATTTACAGATCATCAGTTTCCCTGCCCTAAATATTCTCAGATCTGTCATTGTGACAGTTTCTATATTATATTAAGCCAATTTGCTTGTTTTATGTTTTCATTTTTCTGGCTTTATCCATGAAGAGGAATCTTGAAGCTATTTCTTGCTCACAAATAATATTGATACATCATTCAAATGTATTTGTCTCTATTTGGACTCTGAGTAGAGCAAGAATTAATAGGAAATGTATCTGGAAAATGACTTTCCTGAGTAGAAATCTTTTGGCATATGGTAAATAGAGTGAAAGTAACTGTTGAAAACATGGAACTTAGCAATCCTTTTGTTTGTTTTATTGTCCCCTTCCATAAGATTCAGCCCTCAACTGAGAAAATAGGCTTTATTTATCCATAAGCTATCTTCCAAACTGTCTGTGGCTAGGGAGTTTAATCAATCTGAGGGGTTACAACCAGTGAAGTTCCCTTGGTGCATTCTATGTAAACTGTTTTCAACAACTCACCAGTGAACACTGGGAATCTGGAAAAATAAAGAAAAGCCAGAGGAGCAAATTGACCTATTGTCATTGCCAAAAATAAATTGGATGACATTACATGGAATGAAAGGAAAGGTCTGCCTCAGAAAAATACGAAGGATACCCATAGGACCCATGGGGGGTGGGGGAGTAAAGCAAAATTAGGAGTTGAAAAATGTTTTTTAATGATTATTAAAGTGAAACAATGTGCTGGTTAAAAAGACAACAGCCAAACTAGTACCCAGAAGCTAGAGCCACATGAATTGGCTATTTTCTGTTGACAGACACTTTCTGAAAATCAATAATCCTAACACAGGATGAATTCAACATGGCCGGCCATGGGCAGAGCTGTGGCAGAAAGTGTTTCTCTAGCAGCAATTATTTGAGTAGAAAAGAAACAAAAAACAAATGATTGATTTAAAACAAATAAAACTTTAAAAAAAAAAGAAGTGCTCAAACAAATAAGTGTTTCTACAATCTCGAGGAAACTCTTAGTCAAGTGTTCTTAGGAAAAGACCAGAGACTGTCATGAGATATACCTTATCACATGACTAAGATTTATTCTCCAAAAGGGAAAGGATTTAGGGAAATGACAGTTAGAAAACAGCATAATGCCTGTGAAGACACATTAGAAAAATTACAATTAACAAAAATGAGTTGTTTGTCTTATTAGGCAAGTAGACCACCTTGGTCTTCTTGGGGCTGTGCCCATATACCAGAATAACCAAAGTTAGTCTTGTTTCCTATTAATTGTCACATACTGTTTTACCATCCTTTCTTAGACTGAGAAGGCTCTCCTTTAAAATATGCATGCACCCAAAAGAAGTCATCTATTTTTCCACCCCTCCCTTTCCTTTCCTCCCCTCCTCTTCCCTCCCCTGACCTGACCTGACCTTCCCTTCCCTTCCCTTCCCTTCCCTCCCTCTCCCTCTCTCCCTCTTTCCCCCTTTCCCTCTCTTTCTCTTTCTCCCTTTCCCTTCCTTCCTTCCTTCCTTTCTTCCTTCCTTCCGTCTTTCTTCCTTTCCTTTCTTCCTTTCTCCTTTCATGAATTTACGAACACTTTTAGCAACTTATAACAAAGGGTATAGTCTCCAAAAGGAAAATGGTCAGGCATCTTGAGGTGGGCTTTGCTGTTGATCCATTTGCTGACTGAGGCAGAGGACATAGGGCTGAAAGGATACCAAGGGAATTGCTTCTCCAGGCAGGTCTTGGGACTGACTAGATCACCTCTTGCCAGAGGGTGTGTGTGTGCTGATGTTAACCAGCAGCGTGGAAAGGGGGCTCTAGACCAGGCCAGGTGACCTGAGCACCATCTACAGAGCTCTGACCTCAGGTTGCTAACCTGGGTTCTAACCACTATCGAATACCAATGGATCTTTAGAGTTGCAGATTGGCATTGCTGGCCTTTCGTGAAACATCTCCACTGGCTTTCCTCTCCTATTGCAGCTATCCTCAGGTCAGGCTTTGGATTCTGTGAAGGAACTGGAGCTATGCTCAAGCTTGCTGGCAGCTTTAAGTACATGAACAGGCCGGTGGGGAGGGTGAGCCTCAAACAACAGCTTGCCTGGAAGGAAGCTTAACGCACCATGTGCCGCCCTGTGTGTTGTCTTCTGTAGGTGATTAAAGCCATCGAAGAAGGGTATCGGCTACCCCCACCAATGGACTGCCCCATTGCACTCCACCAGCTGATGCTGGACTGCTGGCAGAAGGAGAGAAGTGACAGGCCGAAATTTGGGCAGATTGTCAACATGCTGGACAAACTCATCCGCAACCCCAACAGCTTGAAGAGGACAGGGACCGAGAGCTCCAGGTTGGCCATGCTTACTTAATAATGATGCATGGAGGAAAATATCAGGGGTGACAGGCCAGTGTGACTCATTTTAATTCCTGCCTTTTCAACCTGGGTGGCTTCTTTCTCGGTATTAGAGTACTTAAAGGTATTAATCATTTACAGTATTTAAAGTATTAATCATTTCAAAGTGCCTATTACCCGTCAAAGCCTCCAATAGTGATAAAAATTCAAACAAAACCAAACAAAGAAATAACTAAAGTGCTAATTTTGTGAAACTGATCCTCAAATTCTAGGATCGGGAGGAAATGTATTCTCAGAAGACATTCAGGTTAGCAGATGTTACGTTTTGAAAAGGGAAAGGAACATTGAAATATGAAGAAACACTGCAATTGTGTGTTCATGTATTGCATGTTAATTATAGCATGGGATGCATTAGGTTTCACTTGTCTTGTCTTCTACTTTATCAGTCTTCAGAGTAGGACACAGGACCAACATAAAAGCTGAGCAAGTTACAAAGCCTAAAGATGCAAGTTTGAAAAGGGGTTTCAAAAACTAAATAAAAACCATAGTGGTACAAACCTGTAATCCCAGCCATTCTGAAGGAGGAAGTAGGCAGATTATAAGTTTGAGGCCAGCCTGAGCAAACCAAAGGGCAGGGAGACTAACTCAAGTGGTTCAGTCCTTCATAGGCATAATCACAAACACACACACACACACACACACACACACACACACACACACACACACACACACACACACACACACACACACCAATAACAAAAGATTGGACCACCCGTGAAAGGTATAGTTCTTTCATTAGGGTAAAACATAAGAGATATCATTCTAATGCTTTAAGTCAATAGGAACTTTTCTATGGAGAAGCCACCTGGAAGAAGGTAGATCATCCTTTACAGTTTAATTGTTTAAGAGGTCAATAACAATAAAATCAAGTGATTTGGGTCTGTGGGAAGGAAAGTACCTGCTCACCTCCGAATTTAAGCTCCACAGAGGTTTCTTTTCCACCATGATCCTGACTTAAAAATAGAATGGCACTCTCATTCCCAATCCTCTCCACTATTTGCAAGCCCTCTGGTGTTTGTCTCTGATCTTATCTCCTGAAAACATAGCCTAAAGATCCTGGAAGAAAAGGAATAAATACATTTGTTGTCATTGTACATAAAAAGGAGAATTTGGGACTAGATGGCAGAAAACCCCTTCCATTTTCCTCTCTGCTTTCAAATCCCTAACATTGGTCATTAGACAGAAAGCATAAACTTCAAACTCTTGAAATAACATTGAAAAGTGGCTAAATTCACAATTATCTCAGCCAAGATCAAATGGTGATTGTGTGCACTGATGAAAGAAATCCACCATTTCTGGTTTATTCTTTGTTCTGTTGTCTCAGAGGGTAAAATGAATGGCTGTAAGTCTAGCCAGCTTCTGTAATCCCAAGGTACATCTCTGCCTTTTAGTGGATCCAAAATTTAGATCCTGAACTCTAAAGCCTGTGTATTATCTCTGAGGGTCCTAAAGTCAGTTCTAGGATTCAGTACTTTTTGGTATTTGGGTGACTAGCATAAGCTCTCCAGCCTCTAATATCATATAATGTCTGTCTAGTCCCAAAGTAAATAACTGATGCTTATTATAGTTGCTGTTAATATAATGCAGTATAGCACAGTAAGCAGTTCAGCACAATAGACAAATGTCATAGCATTCCACAAAGATGATGAAGAACTCCAGAGCAAGCTTGAGAATGACCCTTGGAGTTAATTGACAATGTGGAAACATTTTTACCCTAAGGTCGTTTTGACCTTGTTAGGCACTGAGTATGTGCATCTTGTTCTGTTGATGCACTTGGCTTGAAGTTCTAGAAGTCAGTGCAAATTATGAGCCTTTGTTATTAACAAATATTGATGCTAAACCTCTCATGACAGAACATCACAATTTAATATGGTAATATTAGTCATTATCTCAAAGTTGGAAAAATTAAAGATTAAATCTTGAATTTTTTTTTAAACCAGTCCTGGGGCTCAAACTCTGGATCTTCAGCTTCATTTTGCTCAAGGCTAGCATTCTGTCCCTGAGCTTCATTTTGCTCAAGGCTAGCATTCTAGCCACAGCTCCATTTCTGGCTTTTTCTGCGATTAATTGGAGATAAGAGTCTCACAGACTTTCCTACCCAGACTAGCTTTGAACTGCAATCCTCAGATCTCAGCCTTCTGAGTAGCTAGAATTACAGGCATGAGCCACCAGTGCCTGGTTTAAATCTTTAATATTTTTTTTTGTGGTATGTAACTGCAGTATTGTACTCACCAAACTAGAGGTGTTATGAACACAAAAGGAAGACACAAAGACAAGCTATTATTTGGACACAGAACTGAGAGATAAAACCAGTCTTTGTTACAATATTTATGTAAAGAGTGTGTAAATGCCAGTCAGAATAATTTAATTAAAATAAAAATATTTTAAAAGGAATGTGATTAATTCTGCTATGTAGAAAGTCAATGAAGATATTCTATTGACTTCCTTTTATTTTCAAGAGAAAGTTACTTTTATTTTCAGTAGAAAATTCAGTAGTAATGATATCTCAATCTAAACATTTATATTCCTATTGTCTCAGGAGAAAATCAGGTCAAAATACATTCTGTAATTTTGAATATAACTTAACAAATAGTAATATTGCTATGTGGGTAATTATAGCAAATAACTCTGAAAATCCATGCTATGGCTACAGAGTACTTTGATAAAGATGACTATAACTCCCTTTTAAAAAATACTTTCACAAAGAAGGGATTTGATTATATAGCAGTGTTGTGAGGCATGACCAAATTCCTACCTGTTACCTCTCTTGATGGTGACCATCATCAATCAACCTGGCTTGAAAAGCAAATAAACAAATACATAAGCTAATAAGAAGTTGAAATCATGATACAGGAGCCCCAGCAAAGGAACAGAAGCACATTCCACAGTCCATACAGTGATCAAAGTGCTCATTCTTCCTGCCAGCCTGGGCACACGTGCTGGTCAGGGGTAGGTCGATTAAAGAGAGGATTAACTAACTCCCCGCTGTCCCAAGTCTGTTTGAATGCACTGAGCCTGCCTGCAGACCTGGCTGGAAGCATGCTGGACTTGAACTTTCTCTGTTTTCTTCACTTGCATCAAGTCTGGCAGGTTGTAAACTCTCAATTTTCCTCCCTCATACTTCACTAAGGTTTCCATAGTGGCAGAACTAACTTGGGTAATCATTCTGGCGAGGACTGAACAAATTTCAGCTACAAGGACACCCTCTTCCCCACTCCCTACCCCCATGTTAGGATGTTAAAAGATCTGCCATGTGCAGTAATGCTCTGAGAGGTCTACATAAAACAAGAGCAGGCTTTGAGATTAAGAATAAATAAGTGATTGATGTGTGCTGTACCCGCTTTGTGAGATGAAATCACATGGTTTAATTCATTGAAAACCTTCTCTTGGCTTTCTAGTTTCCCTAGCCTGTTATTAGACAATCCCAATCTGGAATCTTCAGGTTGTACCAATCAAACCTCTCTGTTTACTTTCTAGACCTAACACTGCCTTGTTGGATCCTAGCTCCCCTGAATTCTCTGCCGTTGTATCAGTGGGTGACTGGCTCCAAGCTATTAAAATGGACCGGTATAAGGATAACTTCACTGCTGCTGGTTATACCACGCTAGAGGCTGTGGTGCACATGAACCAGGAGTAAGTACCCAGCGATGTAACACAAAAGGGTAAATTTAGATTTAATAGTATTTTCCTTTTTATTTTGCTTTGACCTACATAACCATCTTACTCATTAAGAAAAAAAAAGTTAGATTATCTCTCATTTTGATTGAGTATGATTTTACCCAAGCTTTATAGAGCACCTATAGTATTGCATTAAGTTGCTTAATTACACATTCTGATACACCTGTCTTGTGTTGTATTAATTGTGGCTGATTCAACTGTGTGTCTGCATGAAACCTGGAAAAAGAGAGAGAGAAAGAGAGAGAGATTCTCAGTCCCTGTGACTTTTCTTCTTTTTATTTTTCCTCACTCCGTCTACAGTGACCTGGCAAGAATTGGCATCACAGCCATCACACACCAGAATAAGATTTTGAGCAGCGTTCAAGCAATGCGGACCCAAATGCAGCAGATTCACGGCAGGATGGTTCCTGTCTGAGCCAGTACTGACTAAACTCGAAACTCTTGGAATTAGTTTACCTCATCCATGCACTTTAATTGAAGAACTGCACTTTTTTTACTTCGTCTTCGCCCTCTGAAATTAAAGGAAAAAAAAATCTGCAGTGTTGCTTGGTGTACAGATGGCTGAAACTGTGGGGTTTACAGAAAGGACAACCTAGAACAAATTGGTTCTCAGAAGTACTTGTGTCCACCACGTGTGTAAAATCCGTGTACCTATATAAATAGAACTCTGCCTCCGAGTGTTGATGCTGTTATTTGCTTCCAGACGTGAGCTTCTTCCAGACATCCCTGGCCTTCTCTCCGTGTGGATTTACAACCGTTGTCCTTTATGGCGTAAAAATCACAGCTATGACCCTTCCCTGGTATGGGGCCCATGCCCAGGAACATTTTTTTGGAGGACTCACTTATAGCTGTGAGGGCTTGGTTCATACTTGGGAATAAATTCCATGACATAACCACACAACTCAATCCATGTGGCCTGTTCAGTGGCTAGGTCACTTGGTGGATTCCTATGACCTGAGGAGCTAGAAAGTGGATTAAAAATGCTAAAACCCTAACTGGACAAATGAGGTCTATGTCTTTGGGCCTGAGGCTGTGCCATGTAAAGTCATACTTGGGGACCCTACAAACTGATCAGAACTCCCTTATGGAGAGTGGGCTGTGACAATCTTGGATAAGGAGTTTTCACTCTTCTTTAAAGAAGCAATCCCACATCTATAAGGTAAGTTGAAAGATCCAGCAATGACTCTTTCCTCCAAGGGGCACACACACTTGTTTGTTTGTTTGTTTTTATTTTTAGTCAACTTGTTCTCATCAGAACTTTCAGATCAATTGGGTGTTTTGTATCATTTTCGGGATTTCTGTTTTTGACAGAAGGAGAAGATTAAAAATTTTTTGGCTACCCTGCTATTCTTCTCGGAAGAAGTTCATGGGAAGTGAAGTGAAGGGTGGGTGGGTGGGTCCTAGCCTTTCTCCTGGTCCTGTACTTCCCTGACATGAAGGATTTATCTTGTCCTTTGGGCATTCATCCATGTTTTGTGTATTTATTGTCTTGTGAGGGCCAGGTAAGTAACATGCCCTTTTCATTGGTACTGGGAAGTCTTTTCTATTAGCTACATTTTCTGACCTCCTCCAGTAACCCCTGTACCACACACGATCAGCCAAGAAGGGGGGGTTACCAAGATGTCAGTGGTTTGAGTTAGAATTCACCTTGATTTCCTCATTATCAGTGACCTACTAAAACAATGGACTTTGCAGCTGTAAGTCTATTAGCAGCCTTCATTGCCTCTCTCTTAGGTCCCAAGAATTCTTGAAGCAAATATAATAAATATATAATTTTTTTTGCTAGTATAAGTGATTTTGTTCATTCCTAGAAACAAGGGACCTAACTTTGGACCAGGGATTTTTTTTAAACTCTCTTAAGTATTCCATTTTTATCACTTTTAAAAGAAGAGCTTAGCTGATTTTAATGACTTTTTTCTCTGTCGATTCTATCCTGAAAGCAATTTTTTTTATAGAGAGCAAGAAATGTTAAATTTGCTGCTGTCAAATCATGACAGTTTAGTAAAAAAAAACTTCTTTTGCAACATTAGTTGTAAAAGCTTTTCTGTTCGGAAAGAATGCATTTAAAAAAAAAACCTACTGAAACAATTTCTGTTTTATCACTACTTCTACAATTTCAGCCTTCTAGATATTCATGTTAAAAGTTGACAAATGTATGTTGACATTTTTCATATTATTTATTATTGTTATTATTTCCTTTCTAAAGCTGTGGAGTTTTTTTAATCTCTCCAGTACTTACTTTCAAGTAAGATTCATTGTAAAGTCATACCTTACCATACATGCATTGGAGAACTCAGTTTTGCTTTTTTAAACTCATCAACTTAAGACTTAAAGTATTTTTCTAAATGTTGAAGGTATTCAAAACAGACTTTTGGAAGCGAGATCATGTTATTGCTAAAAGATCCTCACAAAGCAGTGTTGCATATATCATATGATCCTCAGGTATCTTTGTAAATGAAATAATGAAAAAAATCTTAGGTCATTATAAGAACACCTTCTTAATCTTAAAATACCTACATCTGTTAAGAGTCAAGGCTGATAGAAAGGCCAAAAATAAACAAATAAAAAGTCTAAAATAATCTCCATTGGCAGTAAAAGTGTTTACTACTTCCACTGACTGAAGTCTTACAAAGAGTCCACTGACTGAAGTCTTACAAAGAGAAATTTGAGAACAATAGCAATGTCCGTGTGTTTCCCAGAGCGTGGAGCCAGACTGGCATCCGGATAGCTATGGAACTGATTCTAAAGCCAACCAAAATGTTGACACTGAGAAACTTGTTCCGTTCCTCTTTATAACTCAGATCCTCCACCGGTAAATGAGAGAGATAATGATGCTTTCCTAATAACTGCTTCCTGATGCATGGTGTCAAACGAGTATTGGAAATTCTTTCAAGGAATACTCGACTCCACAAAAGAATGGGCACTCTTCCTCCTGAGCTGTCCAAGTGTTAGCCTTCTGTCACTCACTGTGATCTCTAGTGCTTCACAGCAGATGCTGGTGTGGGGTGAAAAGCAGTTCCAGGCTATGAAACTTCGGGTTGCTCTTGACAGGATTCATATGCACTATTTAGCCTGGGAGGTTATCAAATTATCTTATAATTGGCAAAGCAGTGACATACACACATAAACTTCCAGTACAATGACAGGAACCCCATTAGGAAAGGCACTTCTAGGCCTTCATGACTGAATCAAAGGAGCAGGGCTTTGCTTCTGTAGTCACAATGAATACTTTGTAGTAACTCATGACCCCACATTGAACACATGCTTGCTCTGATCACTATTCAAGAAATTTCCCCATGATAAAGGAATTGCCTGAATTCATGAGACAGAGGCTTTTTATTTTTATTTTTAATCAACTCCTATTCTGGTATCAATAAGAGATACCTTCACAATCCCACACTTCTTTTGGACATCCATTTTCATTTAGACATCAAGTGCCCAATTATAATATTATGAGTGTATTTCCATAATGGATATTTTTATTTATGTATTAATAGTAAAGAACGGTTCACAGGCTGGAAGGAAACAAATACACATTTATGAGACCACTCTTTCTTAAAGAATGAAATTTTTAGGAGCAAAAGAAAGTATCAAAATGTTTGCCTATCCACATGAAGAGATTTTACTTCATAGTTTTCAGATCACAGTCATGTTCTACCTGTGACGGTCTTAACTGATGCAGTTTCTTATATAAATTTGGACAATTGAGATTAGCTTTGTGCCAGGAGTTGATGGCTCATTCTTATAATCCTAGTTATTCAGGAAGCTACAATCTGAGGATTACAGTTTGAAGCCAGCTTAGACAGGATAGTCTGTGTAAGATTTTTATCTCTTGAAAAAAATGAAGCCTGTGTCTCAAGTGGTAGAGGGCCAGCCTTGAACAAAAAAGTTAAGAGACAATGTCTAGGCCCTGAGTTCAACACACACACACACACACACACACACACACACACACACACACACACACACACACCATCTTTAGCATATATTCTATATACTAATAGGGTTCAGTGAGGCTTTCTGATACATGCATGCAGCATATGCTGACCAAATCCTATTTCCCTTTCTCTTCCTTTACCAGACAAGTGATTTGTCCCAAGTCATATTCACACTTTTAAATTGTTAAAAATATAACTTGCTACCAGTAATATATGAGGCCACTTATTTCTGTCTCTAAATTGTTTTCTACAAGTTTAAATATCTGACTAAACTGAATTTTATGTGCTCTTTCGAATGTAATAAAAAAATATACAAAAACAAATAATTGATTTTTAAGGCAATCATTTGGGAAAGGGCCTGGCAGTTCTAATTCTTGCTCTATACTTGGAAGTCACCAATGACTGCTGAAAAAGAAAGCCATTGGGGTAGGAGATGTGGTTTAAGAAGCACGTTCGGTGGTCAAGTGGCAGAAATTAAAATGGAGCAGTTAGCATCTGCCTAGCGAGTTTGGGACTCTTGAGTTCAAACCTAGTACTATGCAAGAAAAAAGAGCAGGGGGAAACTAAATACAATTGCTTCTAATTATTTGGCAAATGAGAGGACAATGGGGAAGGTGATGTGTTGGTTTTATTGCTTTCTGGAAAAATGTAGGCTCCTGTCTGATTCTAGATTGATGGGTGTGTAGAGTCTAGGTTGCAGAGGACCTGAGTCTGTCTAATGTAATGATTTCCAGGTTAACTAGGCACTCAGACTTTGCAGCATCTAAACCCAACTTTGAGGCATCATCAGAGTGGGTAAACTACTTAAGCTTCCTTTTCTTGTCCCTATAATAGGGACACACATAGTATATCTATATCAGAGTTGCTGTCCTGAAGCTGTTGATAAGCAGTATTATTCTAATTCGTTTCCAGAGGAGAGATACAACAATTCCTGACTTTTCCTCCCTGCAGTACTTTCTTTGAGCTCTACCACCTTGTGAGAACCTATATTTTCATCATATTGGCTGGCTGCTGTTTGGAAATAGCAGTTGAGGTTGAGTCTAACTCTCGTTCTTTTTTCTCTACAGGGAGTTAGATTCACAATCTCAGCCTCCCAGCTCTGCCTGGCAATTACAGAGCCCTTAGAAGAAAACAGCATACCCTCCTCAACATACCCTTCCTTCTGCATCTAATGTGCCAGTTCTGGGGCAAAAACACTGACAAAACAACACCTGTATCTGCAAAGAACAGGAGTAAGAGTCTCAAACCCCTGTCCCCACCCAAAACAATAGCATCGAGGGTCAGCGTCTGTTCTCCGGCTGCACTGAGGAATGTACTGTCTCGTGGCACCAGCTCTGCAGAGCCCTTGCTCCCAAACTCCTTGTGGTTTTATTTATATATGTATTTCCATATTTCATTCCTGTATGTCACTGCTGCGTGGGTGTGGCAGCAAGTGACCAAAGGCTACAGGTTTTACTATGGACACCAGGTCAGGTGCCACCACACAGAACAAAGCCAGTTCCTATGAGCTGCCTATGATATGCATTGCTGAAGTAACATTTTACCCAGGGTGTGCCATTGCAGTGATATAAATATATTTTTTTCCTAGACTAAATATGAGCTGACTATCTCTTTTGATGTGTGTACATAGGTGTGGGTGTGTGTT